AAAAAAAAAAAAAAAAAAAAAGCAAAAACAAGAAATAGGCCAACTATTCAGCTCTCTCAGTGATATTGTTCTTACCTAAACAGCAATCAACTTTTCTTTTTGAAGAAAAATAAAAACAAGCATGTTTATTCTAAATTTCAATATTACCCAACTGTCATCCCCCAGTTCCCCCACCCTCCCCTACCACTGTGCTCCTAATGAGAAGTGAGCTATGAGCTCATCAGCTGGCTTCTCCTTGGTGAAGAAGTTGCTTCTGCATACCCTGTCCAGAGCAGGTGAGACCCATGCAAAGGGCAAGGGGGAGGAGGAGCAGGGGCATGACCAGCAGGATTCAAACTCTCCAAGGACACTTCATGAGATGTTTTTGTTTGTTTTTCTTCTCCCCACATCCTGTCCTGCCTGCAACTTTATGAATAAATCCTTCCACCCCCTTCCCCTCTCAGGTTCCTGCTGTGTGGAAGTAAAGCATATCATGTTGAGTGTTTGTTTACACTCTGGCTCTTACTAGGTACTAAATGGCTTCTCAAAGAAGCAGAAAGCTAGTTGGGGGAAGAGAGGAGAGGCAGTGATGAGCTCTGACATCTCCTGCTGCTGTACCCTGGGTTCAGGATGAGAAACAGAAGGTGGGAGGAGAGGAAGGAAGCAGTCTACCCTGGGATGCAGGAGGACCTGGCCAAACATTATCATCCTACGTGCAACGTCACACATGCAAATTAAAACACAATACAAACGAGCTGCAAAGATGCTATACATTTAACAAGTAACATCTTAGGATGCTGGGTTTTTGTGCCTTGTTATCCACTGATAAACTGTTTGAACGTGCAGTATGTTAAAATGTAGTGCTCAATTAATATATTAATCATATTTTAAATGTAAAGTCTGCCAGGGGTCTTAGATGCATAAAGAGACCTGTAAGATAATGTTAAGAGTGACTGCAGAGTAAATTTCAATGCTGCAATCTGTAGGAACCAGTGCCAGAATTAATATAATTTAATTGTATTCTTTTCTTACCAAGACTAAGATATCTAAAGTGCATCCCTGAATTAATTTTGCCTGAGTTCTTATTATCATTACTTCCAGAAAAAAAAAGGTATTATAGCTGAACAAAGTCATAAAACACCAATGTGAATCAAACATTGATACCTTAAGGGTTAATATATAAATATATCTTTATTTATGTACATCTTTAGTTGTGACAAGCAACTCTCCCCATATTAAGACATGATTCAGCAATAGAGAGAACATACTGCTAGAAGATAGCAACTACTTGATACAACTAAATGAAGACTGCTTTTAGTTTAAATTGAAAAATCAAAATTGTAATTGAAGAGGGTGGTTCTGCTTCCTCTACATACTGGAAAATTCCTCTCTCTGAAAGGCCTCAATCCTGCAATCAGTTCAATGTGCAAAGCCCCAGTGATATCAATGGGATTGAATGCAGATAGATAGGGTCCATCTACCAAGATCACACTGCAGCTTTGTGATCTAACGTTACTGCTGCAGAAGCTTTACAAACTTGTGCATGCTGTTATTCATTCTGCTTGCGGATGTCTGGTTCTACTAAGATGACCACCCGACCTGTTTATTAAAGTATATCTTAATATCACATGTTCCGTATCAGGAGAATTTGATTAGATTGTTTTTCAAACAGTTATGAGACTTTCAATAATATAAATATCTGAATTTGTGAAATAATATTGCTCTAAAGCAGCAGTCCATATGTTAGTAATCCTTTGAAACGTAAGTGGTCACCTTAGATATTCACAATCACTCCTCACACAAAGGATAAGAAACAGCTGAAAAGGTAAACAGAAATAAAAATAGAAAAATACAACTTAAAAAAAGCTGCTTACTTAAATACTTTTTTTTACTAAAAATTTGGAAAACATTGAAGATTTTACCAATTTTTCAATCTATAACCCTCTGCTTCAGTGGGTCTTGTCTAAAACTGTGTGATTTTCAATACCCTAGAAAGACACTGTCAAGTGGAAATTATTAGTGTAAAATAATTTAACATACTGTAAAGTTCTCATTATTAAAAAGGTAGGAGTGTTCAGAGATTCAATTATTACTAGGGGTGGGAGGGTTAATCATGGTTAGAAACACCATTAAAAAAAAGTACCTGCAGTTTTACCCACGTTTTGCTCTGGTATAGCAAAGCAATTAGCAAGTTAAGGGAGAAGACAGAACTTTACTTTCAGAGACCATACTGAATTTACAAAGGGCAATTCAACCAAAAGGACTCTCACAGACCAAGGGTATATGTTCAGCCTCAACATCTCCTGTGCAAAATGGAGCTTATTTTCTACCTAAGAGGACTTCTACAATCTTTGATTTCTCCTCAGCCTGAAGAAGGGTGTGTAAGCCCAAATGTTTGCAAAGAAGGTATTTTTTTGCTACTTTTAGTAGGTCTAATAAAAAGTATTACCTCTGAACCAAGAGTTTTAGAGTTTTGTATTTCTCTTTGTCTCAGACCAACACGGCTACAAAATAGATCCCTAAGAGTAAACAAGACATTTTTGTTGCATTCCATAAGAAACCAGGTAAAGAAAAATAAATTAAAAAAAAAAAATGAAATTGTTGGGGGGGAACGTTCATTTAAAAGCTTAAAATGATCTAAAGGAGTTAAAAACTACTTTTTAAGAAGTTACATGAGAACATACTTGATTAACACAGCCAGGTTTAGTCAACATCAGGCACTATTGCTAGAATAAAATTTGTAAAGACAGGTAGAAACTAAACAGAAATGCAGATAGAGATACGTTTTCAACATAGGAAATTAGACATGGAGGGTCAGATACTGTTAATTACGTTTGATCCCTCATTCCGCCAGCACATTACGTTAAGACTCTACCCCCATGATTTGTAATATGAAGTGGAGAAATTAGAATTCCTTAGAATTCTCTTTATAACAGTTGAGATGCTATGGTCCAGTTTTTATATAGCTGTATTATATAATGCTACTCAAATCTGCCTATTATACAGATTTAGAACACATGGGATAGTGACCTATACAAATCTTTTAAAGCTTCAGTTGTGTTATCTGAAGTCTCCAATTTCCACATCATTTTGATAACTTAAATGTCAAAAAAGAGAAAGGATTTGAACGAAAAGATAAAATAGAAACACAAATCAACAAAAAAAAAAAAAGGGGGGTTGGAAGCGCCTTACCAGTTTTGGGTGTCAAACTCAAATCTGTGTCAGAAGAAGAGGACTGTCGACTGTAGGACTTGGAAGGTGAAAAGGAATAGGTTTGGTTTTTCAGAGGGGTGGAGGGTCCTGATGAATGAGTATTGGGATTGGGATCTTCATTGAAGGGAATCCTGCCAGAAGAAGGTGGAAACATATTCAGTAATCCTGTGCCAAAGGACCTGGCTGACAGCAGCATGATCCGAACACCAGGATAGGACTGGGGCAGGGCCAGCAATTATTCCTTAAGTGTGAGACTGGGGATGAGGCCAAAGGCAAAAAAATGCTGTTTACCCACTCAGCGTTCTACAGATAGATGCTGATTATCTGCCATGAAACAAATAAGCCAAATAAGGTATGAAATGTCAAATCAAGAAAAAAAATATGTATGAAAAAGAAAAAAACTCAAACCAGTACATGGTTGAAAAAAATAAAGTCAGATTATTAAAGAAAAAATGATGATCTCAAACTATATTTGTGTTTATAAATACACACATAGTTAAGTATAAACACACATATATTTTAAGAAGGAAAAAATGTTTCCTTATCCTATAGCATCAGCAGCATGCCACAGCTAAAAACAGCTAAGAGGAAAGCCTTTATGGGTAAAACCATATTGAAATACATTCACTTATGTGAAGACTGTCTTACCTGTTTTCCAGCACAGCCTCTTCCACAAAATGACACACTCTGCCCATAGGACTTTCAAACCTCAAATGTTTTTGTTATTTGGGTTAAGCTTGAAAGCAATTTGAAATTCAATCACTCAAAATGAAATGTTCCCCCATTCCTTTACCATGGAAGACCAACTGCATAGTATCTGATATTAAAATCTGATTTATGTAGGTTTGCGAAGTTAAGAAAAAGAAGAGTATGGCTATGTGGAAGAGACTTTGCAGACACACATGCCCTTCCAAGAAATTCTTCTTTCCTCAGTTTCATCAGCTGAACACCGCAGGACTTCTTCAATAACAACAAAAGGACTTCCGGTGAGAAAAGGAGGGAGAAAAGATGTGTGGTACCTGCCTACACTGCCTGCCTGCCTGCACTTTGCGACCACTCTGCCTGTGGCCTGCCTCTCCCCAACTCTTGAGTCTGAGCAGTCTCGTACCAGTGTAGATGAGAGTGGGAACAGACACAGAGAAGTTCTGAGTAAGTCGTGAGCCAGTAGCAGTGTGAATTGGGCTGTTGTGAGTCGAGCGACATCCATGGCTTGGAGGATGAACCAGCGGAGACCTGAGAGAATTTGCAGCCAACGTGGAAGAAAAGAAAACAATACATACAACAGATTGCAAAGTTATGTTAAAATGATTTCAGGGAGTTTTAGTAAGCGAAGATCTCTTATGCTTTAAGCAGACTCTAAGAGTTATAATTCCCAGCATGCAGGAGTCAAGATGAAATCAAAATAGACAAGGAAACAGCTAAACATTAACATGTTAAGATATAAGTGACTTTTTAGTATTAATGACTCAGATTAATAAGGTCAACAACAAGAAATGTGAGTCAACTCTCCTCTTCTGGAGACCCACTCGTACGCTATTTGGACCATATAAAAAAATCATTAAAAATTATAAAGTTCCAAGTTCTTGAACAACTGAATACATCAGTTTAACTATTTTTTGTCTTCTTTTCAAACATAAGTGTTAATAATCTATAGACGCTGCTAAAAAAGTTGGCTACTGTTTATAACTTTTAGCTGACTGGTTTAATGTGCCCAGAAGCTCTGTGATGACAGCATATTTCACAAATCAAAATTAAATTATTTAATGCTGAAGTATAAGCAATCAGACTCATTGATGAGGGAACAGGATGCATTGTGGCCGCCTACTATATCAGTGGTCTAATTATTATTTTAGAAATAGTATGAGTTATTTTATGACTAAACATCACAGTGGCAATTTAGAGACTGGAAACGTGTTCCCCTTCAGGATAATATGAGACTGACATATTTGTAAGTTGTTTATCTATGTTAAAAATTTGAATTCACACAGTATTAAATGGTTCTGTAGACATACTGGACAACTGGAATTAGGGCAAGTTCCTCTTCATGAACCGTTTTCTGGATGAAGTACGATAGAGAGGCATTTGTTTTATATAGTGGGAGGAGAGAGAAGAATGAGACAGGGGTTGGAGTGTGGAACACAAAATAGGAGTGTTCCTGCACCCCTTGAACATTAAACTAAACTAATCTGAACTCAAATATACTTATCTTTCCTTATATGAATGCACCGCAAAACTGCTAAATGGACACTTCCCACAGAAGGCAAAATATTATTAAAAGCCCCTACAAACATAAAAAGCATGTTACTTGCAGAGATAAGACGGAATAAAAGTTTACCACCTAGAGTGGTGAATCACAACCCAAGAATGTACAATGCTCTGGCTGTAGAAACACAAGATATATAATACAGAAAGACACTGCTCAAACCAAGGTTTACCATTGCAACATCAGATGAGATAATTTGTAGAACTGGCAGTTTACGTCTCAAAACTGCTAAATATAAATGAAGTTACTAACAAGAAAAAACCAATAAAGTAGAAACAAATGCTGGGAAAAAACCACACCAGATATGTAAAACTGAATGAATATGAAAATAGATGAATCTTGTTCATTTTACACTATGAACTAATACTTACTCCTTCATTTCTTTGGATGGGGAATTACATGCAGGTAAGAATGCTGATGTGCTACTTAATTTATCCAAGGTACAGGCTGTTCCTATAGCTCGTACAACTAGTCCAGATTCTCCCTCCAGATCAAAACACTGCAAATAGCCAACAACTGCATTCCCTCTCATTTCAAGTACCTTCAAGCCAATCTTCCTTTGAAGTTCACCTACAAAAATAAACACAAGTTAACTTCCATCCTACTTATAAACTGGACTATATTTAAGTTAATGTTTCCTATGCTCTTTTGTGGATTTTGTTCCTTTCATGTTTGTAATTATTTCAGGGTGATTAAAACAGCAACTCTGCATAATTATACCAGATACAAGGCCCCCCGCCTTCCTTCCAGCTAATTAGAAGTTTGGCACAGTGATATCATATTAGTTCTGTCTTATTCTATTTAGAATGTATGGAAACCAAGGAGTCAGAAAGCAATTAAAAATCCTGAATTTGTTACTTTGTGAACCTTTTCCAGCCAATGCTAACTGCAATGTTGCTACATTTTTTTAAAATGTTTTCTGCGTTGTGTGTATGTTTTTTTTTTTTTTTTTTTTTTTTTTTATAGGAGGGGAATGATCAAGACGATACCTTGAGATTTCTAGCTACTCCTTAACACCATAAGTAGTCCAAGTATAATAGAACCTGGATATTTCACAATATTAGATCCTTAGCTCTTGCAAAACAGAGGTTTTACAAGCCAAATACGGGTATATATATGCAATGCCAAGTTCCAGTAAAAGGCCTAACCAGCAAGTATTGTGTCCTATGCAGTCACCTGTTCCCAACCTTCTCTCTCCCACTCCCCTGCAGCAGCTGTAGCAGGCAGCAGGAACTGCAGAGCAGCAGTTTCGGTGCTCAGCGGTGGACCAGCCACAAGAGATTTTCTGTTCCTGCGGGAGATGTTGCCCTTTTTCTTGCTGTCAATGACATGTATGTCAAGCAGCCAAAAAAACCCACTGGTTTTGGTGGTCAAGAAGAGGAGATAACATCCCCCTCCCCGCATTACTACCCCTCCCATCAGCAGCAGAAACTACATTTTCCAGAGCGACCCTCACTCCCTTGCACTTCTATGCTGCTGGAAGAAAGTACAGAGTACAGAGGAAGGTCGGGGAAGGAGAGAAAGAGGGCGGCTGGGCCCGCTTGCCCACTCATACTGGAACAACGTTCTATGTTCTGGACTACACTTAAGATCAAAAAGAATCCACCAAATCACAGAGAGAGGAAACCACAAGTGTAAAGGAAGTAGACTATTAGATTACTAATTTCAGGCATATCAAACTGTGGAACTGCTGAAGTGCTTGTGCTGCTTGGAAAAGCAGAGTATAATAATGAGAATTGCACACCATCTTCTATTACTAAGGGTGCACTGCAATGAGGCGATGGAGTTACTGGCCAGTAGGGGTGTGCGAAGCTTCAGTCCCTGATTTGATTTGGCAGAGATTCAGCATGATTTGGTGGCCGAATTTCTGAATCGGATCAGAGGACCCTTTAATCTCTCCAAATCAAACTGGAAACCTCCGAATTGATTCAGAGAGATTCAGAATGATTCAGCTATTTAAATGTTTGTTCTACATACCTCAAGGTACTAGTGAAGCTCATGAATGTTGAGATGCTGGGACAGATGGAGAGTCCCACAGGAATGTGGGGTGGGGGGCCCTCCACATGCTTGGTGGCAAACCCGGAAGCAGACCTGAAGTACTTATAAGCCCACTTCCAGGTCTGCCTTGGAGCACACTGGGGGGCCCCCATGTACCCTGCCCCAGACCCTGCAAGCACCAGTCGCCAAACCAGGGGCGGGGGGCAGTGCTGGTGGGCACCTCAGCTCGCTCCCTGGCAGATCCGGAAGTGCTTCTGGTTCTGATCCACTTCCAGGTCTGCTGCCAAGTGCACTGGGGAGCCCCCCATGCCCCTATGGGACTTTCCACTTTCCCCAGCATCACAGTATTCACAACCTGCCTGCTACCTAGAGTTATGTAAAAAAAAAACATTTAAAGCTGTATCTCTGGCCGAATCGCCGAGTCTTTCCAAATCAGTTCAGAGGGTTCCAATTCGATTTGGAGAAATGAAAGGGTCCACTGATTCGATTCAGAGATTCGGCCCCCAAACCTCTGCCGAATCAAATCAGGGACCAAAGCTTCACGCAGCCTACTGGCCAGCATAACTACTGCTTTCAAACTTATGCAGGCCACAATATACAGTGCTAGGCTCATCCTTGACTTGTAAGTTTGAATCACATATTGACCCACTGATTCAAGTAGGTGTATAGCCACTTCTTGGGAATAATAAAATGGATCTGTCCTGAGAACTGAAAGCAACAGTCTTATTTCTCATAGTGCAAATTAAGCTGATGGAAAGTTATCCAAGTATAAAATATCCAGCTTCTACTGGATAGTTTATATTAATAAATGCTGAAATATATACACCCTCTTTAATTAATAACAATAATAAAACTGTATACTTTGAAGAGCAGAAGCAGTTACTATCATACACTGAATGTATTGCTACCTGACATTAGGGAAATAAGTCTCTGTCTAGCTTCATTTGATGCTCTTGGTGTACGGATTCGGTCTATCCATTGGTATTCTGGGTCTTCATTAACCACCAGCTCTTCCACAAATCCATGAATTACTACTGCTCTATAACACTTAGGAATAGAGGTAGCTGTTATGAAAAAGAAAGCAACAGAGAGATAAGTCTAGTAGTTAAAAAGATGCCCAGGAAACAAATGAGTAATTATCTTTCCAGCAAAATAATTAAAAGATTAAGAAATAGCTATTTAATTGGTGCCCAAAATTAAGTTGATTGTAAGTCATCCAAATATAAAACATCCAGATTCTACTGTATCCCAAAATTAATGCTGAAATATATACATTCCCTTTAATTATTATTAATAATAATAATAATAAAACTGTATATGTTAAACAGCAGCAGCAGATACTATCATAATTGCATGTATTCTTACCTGACACTGCTGCCAGTTGCACAGCATATCTATCAGACAGACCCCTTTTTTTATTATACACCCTCTTGTGGCTATGTAACCATGTACACGGCTCATGGGTGGGAGCCCAGCTCCAGTTAATAAGTAATAGCCTGCCTGCTCAGGGGCATGGGGCCAGCTGACAAGGATGACTGCTTAGCACCAGAGGAAGTTTAAAGCTCCCATGGAGGAGTTGAGGGGAGAGATGGCAGGTTGTGGTGTCAAGGAGACAGCACAGAGCCAGGTTTGCTCTCTCCAGGTCAGAGGTAGGTTTTGAGTTAACTCTCTTGTCGTTTGTATATGTGCTTGTTTATTACTTATAGTGTTTTTTTTATAGGGACAATTAATAGAAGGGAAATTAAAAGCTAAACAACAACCCACTATAGGCTATTTTTCACATAAAGCAAGTGTGCAAAAATACTGTCATGTATGCGCACATGCATACAAACACACATACACACACACACGCAATGCGGGCTTGGTTGTGCATGTATGCATCTTAAATAATCAAAAATAAATCAGTTAACTTCATTACTTAGAGGTACTTTAAAGTGGTTGCTTAATGAAGGAAGCAATTTGTCATAGATACTCGTACACCCAAACAGAATGATACTCATACACCCAAAATTAAAACGATGTTCCAAGCTATCCCACTGACTTAAATAAATTCAGATTAGATCCTTAAGTTCTGTTTACGGAAGAAGCTGGAAGGACAGAAAATCATCTGTGAAAAGGACAACATACAAGAAAGACCAGTTCAAAGACTACACTTTCTCTAGTTTTGGCATACCACATATATTTGTATCAAGGATTATTTGACTTTTAACTGCGCCATTTAGTACATGTTGCACTTGCCTGTCAAGTCTCACATGAGTAAAGCATGTAAAGCTTTACTGATGAACTTAAATTTTGCTGAATTGGGATTTAGGCAATGGATCAAAGAAGAGCCTGATGCGAAGATCATTAATGATAAGAATATAAAAATGTACTTATTTCAATAAGATTTTGATCAGACCCTAGATCAGTTTATTTACACATACGTGGTTTCGTTTTTGGATAATTCCCCCACAGCTGAACCTGTGGATACAAGATGTGTTTCACAAAAGTGAGTCAGCATTCATCAAAATAACATTCTTTTTCTGACTGATGGAGGAAAAAAAGTGCAATTTGTAGTCTCTTCCCTGAGGAAGTTATCCCCAAAGAAGCCATAAGCAATGGGACAATATATTCTATTATTAACTACAAATCAATACCATTATCTCAAAGTCATAGTTCATTTCAGGACTACTTAGCACGTTTCCAGTTTTTCCATATTAAAAAATGCAAAATAATCAAACAAAAAACATATCACACAGCAAAACAATGTTTTTTACTCACTGCAAAAAAATTTGACTCCACAGGATGACTGCCTAAATCGGTTTAAATCATTGAAGAGGTCTACTTTTACCACCACATTGATCTCCCCACGGATACCTGTCAATAATAAAATATGGAAAGTAAGCATTATTATCAAAAAGAAAAACTTAAAAACAAAATTATATAGTTTTATTTTCCTTTAGCAATCCATATATTCTTTCCCCAAAAGATTCCAAAAACATGCATATCTGTTAAGATATTTTCAAACTCTATGTTTAATTCTTCTCCCCAAATAACTTCTCGAGAACACAGAATTACTTTCATTCTAGTTAAGGCATGCTTATCAGAGTGTAAATGAGAGTTAATGTTTGTACAAAATGTTGAACATAAAAGAAACTACATAAGCAAAAGAAGTTTTCTTCATATATTTAAATGACCAATCCCTAAACACTTAAGTTTTTCATACGTAATCTCTCTACCACTACTGATCAAGTGTTTAATTGATTTTACATTAAAAAGTAAAACAGTCAGACTTGTACATCAGTTATGTCAATGCAGTAATATACACCTCATATAACAAGTTGAGATGAACCATCATGTCAACAAAACTTAAAATAGTAAAAGGAGGACTCACAAAATATTCTGCAGCTATGTATAAATTATTACATACTATTCTTGAGGATAAATCTCAGCTTCATTAACAATGACAAAACTAAATTTAATAGGAGTTTTATCTCAATTCTAAAATATTCTGAACAAATCCCATATTTGAAAGACTTTGTAGGGAGAAAGAATGTCATCCTGTGTTACTTCATTTTCTCCTATACTCCAAACAAGGTTTGATCAAAAATACCAAAAAAAAAAAAAAAAATAGCATATAAAAAACTCTGCTTTCAGCAAAAAAAGTTAGCCTGAAGTGGTATTTGTTTGAAATGTAATTACTCTGAAAAAAAGAATTTAAAATGTCTTTATGAAGGGTCTTTTCCCCCACCTGTCTGAAATTTCACAGGTAAAAGCACAGTGGGATCTAATGTGTGATGGGATCTAATGTGCAATTCACATAATTGTGCCTCCTGCCATGTCTCACATACATGGCAGGAGGCATGGTTGTGGGATCACACATTAGATCCCATCACACTTTATTGCTGGTGCAGGGGGAGCCTGATCTCAGGTTTCCCCTGCACCAGCAAAAAACTGTGGTGATATTCCAGCCCCAGGAGTTTCTTGCACCCCCAAGCACTAGGGATTGTGGCAACCGCAATCCACAGGGCCCAGGTGTTTTATGCTGTGCATGCTGCACCCCTGTGGCTGAGAGCCCTGTCAGCTGACAGGGCTCCCAGTTCCAGCTGCAGGGAAGACACTGCTACATGTGCAAATTAAAGTTCAATAGCAATCAGCTATATAAAGTTAGTACACATTTTAAAGGTCTAATTTTATAGATGGTTGAAACTTTTTATTTGACAGCTGCTTTGCATGTGTAACTGGCCTCCAGGTAATTGTGCACATTAGCCAGTTAACTGCACAATACCTGTAACATGCAGAGGGACCCGTACGATATGATTTGAGACATCTCACTGGTACCTAATGATTGCTATATTATCCCAAAGAAAAAAAGAGTCAGTATCCCAAAACATGATTTAGCACTAATTTTAATATAGCATTTTTACTTACCACACCATAAAAGCTTAATGGTACCTGTGCTTTAAACTGTCAAAAATAGTATCTTTAGTAGTAAAGTGACAGTAGTAAAAAGCTTTAAGATGAAGAGGATTTTTTTTGAAGAGTGAAATAAGCCAAACAATTTTATTTTAAAAAAAATTAGCAAGACTTACCATGTATGGTATCGTAAATTGGAAACCATCCTGAAATAACTGTAGCTGCCTCACTGTACAGCAAAGGATCAATATCTATGTACACCTTGCCAATGGCATCATTGGCACTGTAAGTGTCATGATCAAGAACTGTGATCTGCAGGGGCTCATCTTGTAGTTCTTCATCATCTACCTAGAAATACATGTTGACATGAAAATTCTGTATTTAAATTAATAAAGAAAGCAATTTCAAAGAGAGAGAGTTTAGTTACACAAAGCAATATACATACAAGCTTTGTGACTACACAATTTCTTGCATATGCTCCTACGTTCTCTACTCCCCAAAATGACCATGTTAAAAAAAAGAGACCCCAGTATTTTCAGTGGGATATAAGAAAACAGAAAGGTTGCATGAATTTCACACACTTTAAACTGCATTTTTATTTTTTTCCTATTCTTTACATAGTTCACCCACCTCAAAAAAAAAAAGACTTTCCTACATTCAAATACAAGTGTATTACACAATACTCGAGATACAAAATGCTCACTGGTGCTCCAGTTTTACATAGCAATTTTGCCTTTTCAAATGGCCCAGGAAAGGCCTTTTTTATGCAGGTAACCACAACCCTTGAAGAATAAATTCAGATACACATTTCCTTCTTGCTAACAGTATGTTCTTCTAGTCAATAAGGTGATTTTTGTCACAATACTGCAGTTATATACTTAACAACACATGAACTAGTTCTGCTGAGTGCAACATGACTAACGAGTATGTATTTCCAGAATTTCATGAATAGACCAAACCATGCATACAAGCACATATTTATGATGTCTAAAGTAGTTAGTGTTATTCCATTCTCTGAAATGTAGAACTCCCATGTTTTCCCCAATACTGTTTTGTTCCCTTTGGTCTCAAATATACTTTTCCATGCAAAATATTTTTTTTATTTTTTTTTTTTTATTGTTAGCCAAAAACTTTGCTCATACAAAACTTCGCTCCACTCCCCAAAGCTCAGCCACTCTTCTCCCCAAAAAAGAAAAGAAAAAAATAAACTTTCTATCATATAGCTTTGCTTCCTAGCAATCAGCCTGAAATAAATTCTTTAATCCAACCAATTTTGTTTTATAATTGCTTTAAAATACATTTAGAATATTATCAGGCATTATATCACTATTTGTACATAGAACAAAGATGTATTTCCACTGTGGAATCATCTTATGACAAAATACATAATATTGACATAGTAAATCTCCTTCGGCCATGACAAGCTAGCCCCTTGGCTAGTCTTGGGACAAGCCATTCCTTTTTTAAGCAGTAAAATACCACCATAGCCTATGCCAATCACCTATATTTCCCTCCTTTTGGCATGAGGAAATAAGAATTCATCATATAAGTGATTTATGTGAGCAGAGTATCAAAGGACAACTATGATGCAGCTATATTCATCTTAACATCAACTAATTAGATCCTGCACTGTGATGGGCACCATCTTGTGAGGACAACAAAAGCTGAGGAGGCTGAAAACTCTATTGGAAACAGATATCAAAGTTTGATCCTGCTTTTAAATAGCAGTGCCTAGAAGTGCACCGACACATCACTCTGATATAAAGAAAATTGGCTGTATCAGAAATCAGCCCAATGGGGCCAATAATTTGGCCAATAAATGACAGTGTGTGCACTCAGGAAGCTAGGAGCACGACCCGGCAGTGTGGAGAGCTGCCTCCAGTTGGTAAGTCGATTGTGGTGGAAGAGGAGGAGGGAGGGAAGGAAAAGGCGCAGGAGGTGGGGGGCAGATCAACCCCTCCCCACAGTGAGGGAGGGGGCAGGGGTAGGCACTGTCCAGCTGGGTTGGGGTGTGGTATGGAAGTGTGACTTGTCAGGGTGGGGGGTGGCTCCCACCATTGCTTGCTTGCACCCCGGGGGGGGATGCCCCCCCACCCGGATCTGCATGGGGTGAGCAGGCAGGCTGCAGCTGGGCTCTTTTTGCCAGGGGATGGGCTTGGAGTGGGGGCTGCAGCTACCCAAAATTTTGCTGTAGCTCCCTTCCAGCACTGCCGCTGCATGTCTGGTGCTTCCCGACTCAACGCCCCCCTCCCCCAACACAGGACAGAGGCGTGGTGCATCGGGGGCCAACTTCCCCCCAGTGCCACCGTGCACCCGGCGCAGCCCCGGGTCTTCCTGGCGCATGGGGGGAGGGGCAGGGGTTGAGCTGGGAAGAGCCAGGCTGTGTTGGGCATATGGTGGCGGGAGGGAGTTACAGTGAAATTCGGGGTGGCTGCAGCCCCCTCCATAGCCCCTGCCGCAAGCCCAGCCCCTGGCAAGAAGAGCCCGACTCCAGCCCACAGTTGCAGCCCATCCACTCACTCCGTGCAGATCGGGGGGCACATGCCCCCTCCCCACCCTGCCCATGCCACACCTCTGTCCCGTGTCCCACCCTAGCTGAGCAGCACCTGCCCCTGCCCCCTCCCTTACTGTGGGGAGGGGCTGATCTGCCCCCCTCCCCCTCCACCACAAAGGACTTACCAGCTGGAGGCAGCTCTCCACGCTATATTGGAAATTGGGTCAGCATCGGCCAATATGCCTCCTTAAAAATCAGGTATCAGTATTGGCCCCAAAAATCTATAATCGCTGCACTCCTAGCAGTGCCTGATTAAGAAGTACATAAGATAGTGAAAGCAGCCAATAACTATAAATTTCGTAAAGCTAACATATTTCAAAGACTAATTTACTTAGTCTAGTTAATATAAAGTCTAATTTTAATTCAGCTATATTGATGCTTGAAAGCCTATTTGCTAAAAACTAAAGATTTCATAGTTTCTAAGGTCGGAAGGGACCTGAGCAGATCATCTAGTCTGACCCCCTGCCATGGCAGGAAGAGCACTGGGGTCAAATGACCCCAGTAAGGTGGTCATCCAACCTCCTCTTAAAAACCCCCAGGGTGGGAGCCTGCACCACCTCACTTGGAAGCTGGTTCCAGAGAATTTGTATTTCTGATTTATACTTCACCCTTTTCTACCATTGCACTGCATATTTCAACTCAGCTGGACCAAATTCATGGACCTAGCAATGCAAACTTGTGTTACCACATACAGAAATCATAAGTTAAGTGATATGGAGGCTAACTTGTCAATTTCTTCAGATAAAGTCTACAAATTCTTCTGACAATGCTTTCACTCTCCAAATACATATTTTCTTTTCAAATATAAATACTTAATTATAAAGCTTTTCAAATCAGATATTGACAGAGATACAAATGATAATTTATAAAACTTTGTTACCTCAAATTTAAACCATTCAGAGTTCCACTGGGGATTGAGAGACTTGGGATATACATCCGTTTTAAACGTGGTATTTCCAAATTTTACCTAAAAATGCAAGCAGTCATTCAATTAAAAATAAGAGTAGAAGAATCATTCTTATATTAAGTGATAAAGTAGACTTGTATTTATGTATTTGAAACCAATTGCATACAATTTGCTTACATTTAATATATATAGTTCACACACATTCAAAATCTCTTTCCATTGGGTTTAAATAGCCCCTTTATTCAATTAACATTTTTCAGCAAGTGACTGATTCTACACATCTCTAAAGCTATGCTTTGCTTAGTTTCCTTCTGTTTCTATTATAATAGTTAGTATTTGGTTGTTTCTTCCCTTCTCCATGTATGTAGTCTCTCTCGTAGTTTCATAGCTGTTAGGGTTGGAAGGGACCTCAATAGATCATTGAGTCCAACTGCCTGCCCTGGGCAGGAAAGAGCGCTGGGGTCATATAACCGCAGCCAGGTGCTTGTACAATCTCCTTTTAAAGGCCCCCAAGGTAGGGGAGAGCACCACCTCTCTTGGAAGACCATTCCAGATTCTGGCAACCCTTACCGTAAGAAGTTCTTCCTGATGTCCAACCTAAATCTGCTCTCTGTCAGTTTAGGGCTGTTATTCCTGGTTATTCCAAGGGGTGCCCTGGTAAACACAGCATCTTCTGTTCCTTGCTGCCCCCCTCCCCCTTGATTAATTTGTAGATGGCCACAAGATCCCCTCTCAGCCTTCTCTTGCAAAGGCTAAAGAGATCTAGGTCCCTCAGTCTCTCCTTATAGGGCTTTACCTGCAGGCCCCTAATGATATGAGTGGTCCTCCTCTGAACCCTCTCAAGGTTATCCATGTCTCTCTTGAAGTGCGGCGCCCAGAATTGGACGCAGTACTCCAACTGTGGCCTGACCAATGCTGCATAGAGGGGAAGCATCACCTTCCTGGACCTGTTTGTGGTGTACCTGCTAATGCATGATAGAGTGCAGTTAGCTTTACTGATTACTTCGTCACATTGATGACTCATATTCATCTTGAAGTCAACTATGACTCCGAGATCCCTTTCTGCCACTGTGCTGCTGAGAAGGTCCTCCCCTAGCCTATAGGTGTGTTGGTGATTCCTTCTCCCAAATGCAGAACTTTGCACTTGCCTTTGTTAAACTGTATCCTATTCTTTTGTGCTCAGTTTTCCAACCAGTCCAGGTCTGCCTGGATTCGATCCCTTCCTCAGGCTTCTCCGGATAATTTCCAGACAGTAAGAACTTTAGAAATAGTTTGCCTTGTGAATTAAAGACTAGCTGCCTCTAAAATCTTCAAGCAAGACAAACTATGTAATACTAGGACCACCATAAAAAACAGCTGCAAAAAAACCAAAAACCTTTTAAATTAGAAAAAAGTTTTGCTGCAAGCAATCTATGGAGAAGGAGTAGCTGAGAAGAACCCCGC